TTTACTTCTAGTCTATTCAATGTTACAAAGTGATACTTATTCGACCGATATAATGGACAGAATATATTTATATATGTATAATATTAGTTTCATCCTAGAAAGAACTTTTCTATTTAAGTTTGTTCCACCTGTTATATATATATATATATATATATATATATATATATATATATATATTCATATTGATGAAAATACATATTAATGTTGTGCCCTAAATGTCACAGCTGTTTTTGTAAGGGTTACTGAGAATAAATTGCTTGTGGGTTTTTTATCTATATGAATGTTTGAATTTGCTTTCATTCTCATAAACATCAGATATCTTTTCAAATCTGTGCAGTCACGCCAGTAACTTGTTAAACGTTATCGTTCAGCGTCAGAAAGCTTATCGAAAGATAAGTCAAAGCTAAAGAAATAGTAATAACTGGACAAAGCTAGATTTATTTCAGCGAAATCTTTTTATTTTTCACACTGAGTTCAATATCAAGTGTAAACACTTTTAAAATAACTAAAATCTTATCAGAATGATTAGCAGTTTACACCATCCTAATTCGTAGACCTAATCGCTGAACATAAGCTTTTGTCATCATCTTACGTAAAAATATCATTCTCTCTACCGTAGGCGAGCATAAATCTGTAATGGAGATGAAATAACAACGGTGCTATGATAATAGAAATAATGATGTACTTGTAAAATCCAGATGAGCAGAAAATTGAATTTCCAATGTTTTGCAAACCAGTATAAGATGGTTCTTCAGAGAATAAACAATGATATGAATACACTACTGACTGGAAGATTCTGTGAGCCATAAAAGGACTACTGCTGATAAAAATCTTCTTAGAAATCTAATGTCTGACAGAAAATAATGTGATAAAAGTCATAGGACTTCGCATACATTACATTCATATGAAAAGTAATCAATAAATATTTATTAGTTTGTAAGTAATTTAGGCATTTTTCGACTTTTCTTCTAGCCTTTCTAAAGATAATATCACGTGAAGTTAAGTGTTTTAAGATGCTAGACCAGATCTTGGCTGAATAATAATGACTAAATAACAATCACAGATTACCAGTCTAATACTTTAATGAACTACATTTGGTTAACTATACATTTGGTCACATCTTAACGTTTTACCATTCAGTATTTTGCAAACACAGTTTTCGACGCTTGGACCAAACTTAAAACAACCCTTAACACTGCTCACTGAATGATACTAGGCATCAGTGACGAGAAAAACATGCAACTGAACAATTAAATAAGAAAATACTACTTCACAACTTAGCAGTAAAGCTACTACGAAATAGACTAAACCTGTAATCCACAACATATGAAGGATCAAATTACCTACTGGTGAAGTCGTTGAACTGTCGTATTAACAATAAAAAGAGACCAGCTCATACATAAATCTGGATAAAACAAATAATTCATCATTCGGACTAAATCGGCGACGACCTAACTGAAGACTGGAAGAAACTTACAAATATAAGTGAATATAATCTAAAATTAATGGGAAGGTTAGACCTACCCCACAAATTTCTCAATAATAACTGTTAACGAATGTTTGCCGAAGAAGTGTACAGACATAACAGAAACGATCATCGGCTGCGAAAACAAACTCAAAACCAAATGATGGGTGTAAAAGTCTTAGAGAAGATTACACATATACGTACAAACCAGTAGCTGGCTCAATCAACATGTTCACTCTAACAATCCTCACTTAACACAAACACGACTAGACCCACTACAATGAAACTTAGATACAGCTTCATTGATAGCCAATCCATCTACACATACTTTTGAACATCAGTATCCCCATTTCAGATGCAATACGAGGCTACCTATTCGGAAGGAAATAGTTCATCACTGCCATACGGTACATAGATGGTCAGCTACCACTGAACAGGAAGTAAGGTAAAGGAAACAAAAACCTCGAAACTCGCAGAAAAACCATTGCATCCCCATAGTTGTGCCGCGCTCAAAAGATTTTATCCTCCCCAGAACAGTATACCAACTTCATCAACTAGTTTGGTTGGAAAAGGAACCGAAACAGTTCGGAAAAAAATAAATAAATAAAATTATCCAACATGAATAGAAGATAAATATCCTTCGTCCTCTATTGCTAAACATATAGTTCACACAGATTATGAGATAATCTTAACTAGGCTTCTGTGGTATTACAGTAAAGTGTTCAAAGGCGTATACTACGGTTTATCGAAGCCTTGGTTATACGAAAATTTAAACTCCCTTTATCAATTTTAGAATTATTCAGAAACAGTTTATTCTAACTTTGAATCTATCTTGATAAAATTGTTTTATTATTCAGCATGGTAAGTTTCACATTGTTGTTAACATTAACTTCTTTCTTATTCTTATTTCCTCTTATAATTCATCTGTCTAGTTCATCTTATATTTCTCGTACATAAATGTTCTCAACAAGTATATGTGATCCGATTGTTTGAAATGTATTGTGATAATACGTCGCGTAAAGTTGAAAATCTTCGTATTTCTTTTAACACTATCCAAATCCAACAAACGGCTTAAGTGCTTTAAACATAATATTCCGTTGTCGAAAATTCTAACTTTATAAGCTAGAACATTTATCTGGTATGATGACTGATACATCAGAATCAATTTTTGTCAGTGCTCTATAATGAGTTAACTAAACCGTTAAAAAATAATTGTGAGAAGTTTTTTTACTTATTTGTTAGACTACTTTGTGTTTGTAGGTTTACACGAATATTTCGACCTTTATTTTCAGTTGCTTTATAGATCCACAGTTCTCACAAAGTTATGAATCAAGAAATCCAGTCACTTGGTTTTTTCTATGTTTTCAAGAGTTTTCATATGAATATTTGGGCTAAAGTTACACATCAACAGAATTAGTGATGTGTAATTTCGAACAACCTAGAGCATACATGGTTAATAAAATACGATCATGCTTGTAGTATTTAATAATTAGCAATGATCATATTAATAATTTGATAGCTTTTTACACAATTCATTCAGGATGACTGTATCAATGCTTACACCAAATCTGCTATGCTAAGTTACCTGATCAAGTGTTTATCGGATCTATTTGTTTTATGCTATTATCAAACTGCATACATGACAAAATTGATTTACTTAGATGGTTTCCTCATTAAATTTGGAAGCAGATCCCATCAAGAACTGACTACACTTACGCAGTCAATAAAAACTATTTCAGATTAAATAGATGTTACTTTCAAGTTTCAGACTTCTAAGCTATCAATGTTAATGACTTCACATACACTTCATTTCAAAGATCTTCAAATCTACCGATAACAGTGATGCATATTTTGACTAAGATTCGGTATATTTCAAATTTTAGTGGTTTTCCGGCTGATAACCGGTAGGCAAAAAAAAATTATTTTTGGAGGGTGTAGTTTTGTCGAGCTTCTTCTAAAGTTGTAAAACTGTTTGTCAACTTAAAAATTGCAACAACTGATTTGTATCGGTCTAAGTAAACAAGCACCTGAAATAAATTCATCCAATTTAATCCGTATTCAGGTTAGCCTAAGTGTAATATAAAAATTTAAGCGCAAAATTTACGGTTGTGCCATTTTCATTCGCTCATCCAAATCATTGTCAAATCTTAGACCAATAAACTCCACCATTTGACAATCGCCGTTTATCTTTCACATCCAATACTAAATTTCACCGCTAATTAGTTTAACTTGTGAGAGTTTGTTACGAAAGTGTTCATCTTAATTCAAAAAGAACCAGAAAAAAATGGAACATTCGTTTGAATTAATTCAGCATTTTTATCCATACATTTTTTATGCGAATACATTTTTTACAATTCAATATGATCTTTAATTATGATCGAAACATTTCTCAATAAATAACCATAATTTTCAAAAAGTTTGTGCAATAAGACGAGAGAACAGGCAATGAATAAGACTCTGCTATAGAAAATTAATGTATAATTACAAATAAACTAAGTTTTAATAAAACAAATGGTAATTTCCTATAATTAATGCGAAAGTCGCGAAATATGTCAAACAGTAAAGAGAATACAAAAAAAATATTGATCGCCAAATATTAAATAAATTAAAGTTTTATTCATAATGTCGAAAACAGTCTATTGACCAAGTTTTGTTGAGAATAGTGGAATGGATAGTAAGTAATAAATGAATATTTTTATACATACTTAGACATGCAACTATTAGTCGCCTGGATCTTTGCATTGATGTTTAAGATGGCAATTGACCAGTCTGTTTGGCATATGTTTACTCTATGCTGATTGTCTCGATGTTCTTATGTGGAGATACGAGTAGAAGCAAATGGTAGCTAGCAGTGGAATCCAAATGATGATTCCTATCTAAGACGAAATGAATATTCTGAATTCAACTGCTTCAATCATCCATCTCTACTTAAAGGTTTTGTGAAAGGACTGTATTAGTTTTGAATTGATCAGTTAGATAGATATAGGTTTGTAATCAATAACTTGACATATATTCATGTTATCCTACTAATTCTTTCTTCAGGTTGCAATCAGTTCAAAATTAGTAATAATCAACCATTCGATTATTGATAATTCTATAACCTTTTCGTAAAATTTATACACCAGTCTTGGATTATGTTGAGCATTGAATAGTAAAAGAAATAGACATAGCTAAATTTGTTTAAGGATTGATTAGGTTTCAACAAAACTTTTAACTACATATGTTACTTGATTAGGAGATACAACAGTAATCTACCATTCACAATATTCATTTCTATAAATTAATATATATATATATATATATATATATATATATATATATATATCAAGTGATTTTTTGAAATGATAACTTGAACTGTGATCTTATGAAAAAAATAGTTCTGATTCAAGAATTTATATGATTAAACATACAAATGTCAATCACAGAAATCATTATCAACTAGAGTTTCTGTTGTAAAATTATCATTTTTCTTTATTGTTTATTGATATTACTATGTACTTTGTACTTTACACCATAAAATGCAAACAGCCCATAGGTACAATCATTTAAAAACAAACAGAAATTCAATGTTTAACAGTATTCACTACAATACAATGGATTGTTATTTGATACATTTTTAAAGAAAATTTAAAAATACAATGAAATGTATTGGAATTTGATTTACCAACTCCGTATGAATAACTATTTTACAATGCTACTCGCGTTGTCCAAAATAACCGCTTTTTAAATAAACAGAAACAATATATATATGTATATGTTTAAAGCGTTACATTTGAGATGCAATTCTTGTGAATATTTATGTGTCGTTTTCAACTATATTCACAGATAACAAATCATAATCAAAGAATAATACTAAATCTTAAATAAAAGTGGAAACATGTGAAGCGGTTGAAGTTACAGCTGGATTAGATGATGAGCATTTAGTATTGATAGTGAAGAAATTTTTTTCAATTTGAGATTTGTTAATCAATGCTAATTGTTGATTGTTTGCATCTTTTTGATTCGAAAGCATTTCTGATAACTGATTTGATTGATTCATTGGATCTGATAGAGATTTATTTACTTTTACTGTTAGGCGTTCATTGTTATCAATACCATTTAGTTTATTGATATATTCATTTGTTTGAATAGTTTGTTGTTGTTGTTTATCTGGTTGATAACAATATAATGAATGACCGATGATATCATTGGCATTCTTTTCAACATCAACATCATCGCAATCGATATTATCATTATTATCATTAGTATTCGGGTGGGAATTTTCATTTAACTCTGTGATACATCCTCTTAGTATACCTTTCGGTGTGATATATAACAATGATTTATCATTTAGACAGACATTTTTTGTCACGTTTGGATTCTTCGATAATTCCATGTTATTCAATTTCATTAGACCTAAAATGCGTTCAAAGATGCAATTAGGACATCAAAACTTGTTGAACAATGTATGATAGTGCTTTTACTGTGAAAGAAGGTAGAAAAAAACTAGATGAACTTAAAAGAATGTGATGTATTTGCGCTATACATTTTGAACAATCTGGTAACACATATACTTGTCAGATGAGCCGATTAGCGTGGGAAATAGAAAACCGTGTTTATCGATCGTAAAACACATAATTGAGACAGGGCTTAAGATTGACATCAAGATAGCCTTCAAAACATTGTATAGAAATGTTGAAGGACGAATTTTGAGGTTTATTGAGGCCTTGGCTATTCGAAAATTAAAACCCCCCTTATGTATACAGAAACAATTTGTTATAACCTTGAATTTACCCTGGTAATCTTTAAGCCTAGGGTAATGTGACAATTTCCTACCCTTTCTTATTCTTTTCATATTACGTTAATTTTCTCTCTCCCTTAATTACAATTATCACCTTATGTCTATTTGAACTTTTACTTAATTGACCTTTCATTCATCTTCATATAAAATGCCTTGACAAGTAAATATGTGTGATCAGATTGTTCGAAATGTGTAGCGCAAATACATCTCATTTTTCAGATCAATCACGTCTTCTCACTGTCCTATCAAAATTTATAAAAAAGGGACTAATTGTTTTAAAACAATGCATGTTTTAAATAAACTTACCATTTGCTGGATTTTGATTGACGGATATCTTGTTATTATATTGATCAACTGAACATTGATGTGGTTGAAGAACTTCATATTTTTGATTTGGCATATGTCTATTCATTTGATATTGGTCAATTGTTTTATACCTTTGATTGAAGTAATCAGTTGGACTTGCTGGTGCTGAATGTTGAACATTCATTAAAGAGATCCATTTATCTGAAGGAAGATTTTCAGTTTTATTATTGTGAACTGCTTGAAATTTTCTTGGAAATTGTAATGAATTAACAGTTATTGGCATATTGTAATTGTAAACAGGTTTCGATTGCTTCAAAACAAAACCATAATAACATTTTATTATCAAACTATATAGAAAAAGTTCATTGTACATTTATGTGATATTGTGCAAATCGTTTGTTTCAGTAAGTTGAGACATAAGTAGTTATTAAATTACAACTTTGTTTGAAACAGGTTAAAATTGAACAAAATATTTTCAAACACTATTCAATCGAAAATTAGTCTCATAAAAATAAAGGAATAATTAGGAAGTATTATTATTCTCTCGCTGTTTGTCAAATCATAGAATGTAAGTGTTTGTAATTAATTCTAACCATACGTTTTCAGTAAATTCAAATGAAAATCTGTTGAATTTGAAGGATCATAAAACTTCGGTCGCTAAAGAATACTTATGCTAATAGTCTAGACGTAATAAATTTTCTTAGTAATCTGTATATGAAATTTTATTTAAAATTGGCGCATTGTTGATTGTAAACTTCTAATTAGTTAAAAATTAAGGCATATGAAGACATTGAATAACGGTAAAAGTCAGCAGCAAACCATTTGTCTGTGAAGTAAAAAAAACCTATTGGTTAGTTTCATTCTTAGTTATATGAAACAAGCCATTTTTAAAGGTATTTAGAGTGTATTGCTTAAAGTACCACATCAAGGCTAGCTGTATAAAGGCTTTCATTCAGTGACATTTTCAAGAGGTAAGGAATACAAATATAGATGGCGATGGAGCGAGACACTCATTCTCGAGATAATGTTTTGGCTAAATGCTCTGCTAGTTTGACTATTTTACTCTGTTTGAAGTTATAGAAAAGATTTGATATCAATACGAAAGTGAATGAAATGCATTTTAAAACTAATATGTTTCACTATTGTACAAGTGACTTGACGTAACAAAACACCTATATAGTTAAAGCGAGCCTTAGTTTATCCATTTCATTTTCTGGTTTGTCTAAAACTTTCAGGCTCTATCGGATTCTTTAAATTATCGCGTTATACTTCTTTCTGTTTTAAACTTTGAAGCAATAAGTTCAACGTTATTTGTGTAAACTTCAAGAATTGGGGCCCACTCATTACTTACAGTGACTTATTTCTTGTAATTCAAATCAACTATCATTAGCATAGATAGATGGTGAGTAGCAATGGAATCCAGTCATGCCTTTAGTCCTACTTGTGCATTTATTGGATGCATACATACCAAAGTGACTGGTCAGTTGCAGTTTTTACTATCAGTGGGAAGATTCAAACAACGTATACAAATGAATTCCTCTTAATATGGTGTACTTTGAATGATAATAAATCACATGTAAGCAGTTTTATTATGCTAGTTGTAATAATAACCGAATTCATGAATAATACCTGATTAGCTCCTCTTCATACAAGCGTAAAAATCTAGTAGTACTAAAGTTAAGCTTTTGAGTATGTGATATGCTCGTCAGTTGATATGCTTGAAGGTATTACGAGTTCACCTTAGTCGGTAAACGAGAGCGAAGACAGATGATCCAGTGACGCGGTTGGCTACTCTAATCCGAGCGTCCCAAGGCCCCACTAAGTAGGGGGATAAGTCTTGAGAAGACGTACGAAGTGTATTCCATATGCACCCAGAAAATCGAGGTCCGCAGTCACACAAATTGAGTTTATTTAAACATGATAGAAACGTCCTTGGGAGAGCCACAGAAATAGCGTACTAAAATAATACATCAATCAATGATAGTTGGGGATTTTCCGGGTGGGGGATGTAATCTCAAGGTCAATTGATCGGCACATCCGCGAAAGCATAAAATCTAAAATTAGGACCTTTATCATGTAAGTTCTGTGGATCTAAGGTCCCCAACATTGTGAAGTAATATGCGCATACCAGCGTAGGACTTTTTTAATGTTTCTGTCATGTACAACCAATTAGTACAAATGATCATATTCAGTTGTGAATAAGCCTTGAATCTCTGAGCACTAGTGAGCGATTTATGGCTGTCCATGCAAAAGGAACGAGTGATGTTGATTTAACTAGGTCATTGGAAGCCTCACTTGCAATCACTTTTTACAACTCAAGATAAAAATAAAGAAATTAAGATATTTGTGGTTTATAGAAAGCTTTTACATTGGCCTTAACTCATCAATGTACAGACTGAACACGAAAACCAACCTTCAATTAAATCAAATCAGTTATAAATGCAAATTACAGAATTATGAACGCTAAAATAGTCATGATTTACTACCTGTATATCCATATTAATTGGGTTCATTTCTTTAGTAGAAAATCCTAATTGATGTAGTGATCCTGTTGTTGAATTAAAATTTGCATCATGCTTGGCAAAAGAAGAATAAAGAGTGGGATCATGATTACTGCAGCTGTTGTCATCAGTTTTATTATCCGGTTTTTCTAATGTTTGGAATTTAGTCGGTGAATAAGTATTATCAATGTTAGTGAAACGATGTGTATTTACAGAATACTGGCTACTACATCGTTCTGTATGGCAGAGATTGAAGTTTTCATTTAAATGATTTGAACTTTGTTGTAGCTCATAGGTAGCTACTTTTTGACGAACCAGTGTTACAGCGACGAGGAAAGCAAATGCAATTAATGTTGAAATAGCTATAAAACATATAACAGATATCCAAATTTTTTCTAAACTGAATGGCGTTGAAGATTTCTGATTTATTATTGTAGAAACTTTCTCTTTTCTACGATATTTCTGATTTGAATGAGGTGGAACGGACAAGATAGGTTGGGCATAATTTGGTTCATAAATATATAAGTCTTTATTGTCTTGTCTTGACAGGATTCCATTGAACTCTTTATTTTCTGCATGAATTATCTCGTTGTCATTTTTTAAAATTGACGAGCGATAAGTGTTTCTTGAATCCAACGACTCTATATTATTTGTATGTTGATATTTGCCATTATTGAATGATGATAACGTGGGTGAGTTACGATCTAATATAATATTTATAGTTGCGTATCCTGAGAGACTTGGTGTACCACCATCACGTACCTTTTTGTAGAAAGAAAATGATTATACACTGTCACTAGTTGGTAAGACAAAAAACAAATGAATTATTTTGATATAATAAATAACTATATAAAATGTTATTACTGAAGGAGATCTACACTTAATGTGTCTTAATCCTCAATATCACCAACCTGATGATACAATAAGTTGAATGGAAACTTAAATGATGAACTGAATTAATGAAAAGTATGAAGAACTTAAGCTATCTTCTTTCTTTTTAGTAAGTCATTAGGCGTCTTTTGTACATTCGGAATCGGCAACGTCCTCACAACAGTCAAGGATTTTGATGGGTTTCTACGATATACTGTCAAACTTACAATTGCGAATAAGTGAATTAAATTTTTGAAAGGTTGTGTAGATAAACGTGAATATTTGAAAACGTTTTTTGGAAGTAATTCGTTCGCCACTCAGTTAAAAATATGAAATATAACCATATCGACAAGGTAGAGTCAAAGTTGTCTAAAGTGGAATGCGAAATAGCATTGAGAACATGTATGTTATACAAATTACTAAGAAAAGTTCAAATAGTACGTCGATACGATTGCGAAGAAACTCTGGGAAAACATGACTCTCAGGCTCCTGAAAATTTTGAAACAAACTGACATTTTGACCTTTCCAGATTCTTGTAAGAAATATGTTTTCAACCAGCCTAGTGCACATTTTTCCAAGTAACAAATGCAAGCATTGTCACCCACTTTGAAATTCTGTGATAATTCTACGAAAAATGATTAACCCTACGCAGAACAGTTCGAAAATCATATTAAACAAATCCCTGACTTAAACCCTGTTTTGAACAATCATTTTGACCAACTCAAATCAAAAATCTCGAAGAAGCGGCTCCTCGTCAAAGCAGCATAAATCTCAATTGAACGAACTTTTAAAAAATAAAGATTTATTAACGACGATAACCGACTTAAACGTTTGAAGCCGTTGGATTTTTCTATCTTATGATTGTATGAACTCCGATAATGAATATTAATAATTCCCGATTCCACGCAATCGCCAAATGATTAGTGAAAATCCCACAACTTTTCAGAAGCCGGATGTCTAATCATAACCTTCCAGACATCTTTGATTTCGTGAACTCAAGTCACCGTGTCAGGAAAGAAATCAATGTCGTTTGATTTTACATCTTTATTTACAAATTTCCCGCCTACATATACTATTTGCTTCCTATGCCACTTTATTGATCTTAGTAACATCAACGTTGGTTGTCCAAAAAATTACCCAAAAGAGCTCCTTCTACGCTGCATTTTCAACGTGTAATTTAGATTTAACGATGACTTCTATGGACCAATGAATGGCGTCAAGATGGGATCTCCTTTGAGTTCTTTTCTAGAATTTTCTAGAATTCTGATAGACAAATTTTATTTTTCCAAGATATATGTGTGATAGATACATTTTACATCTGTGACGGAAACAGTGACCTTAATAAAATAGTGCAAAATTCCAACGATAGTTAACACTTGGTTGGATTGAAATTAGGTTTGAATTTGGATTCTGAATTCCGTTTTCTTGACATCTTACTAAAACGAAGACCAGGTGGGTCTATTTGATGGTCGATGATCAAAAACATGGTGCGGTCAGTATATATACTTTAGGAACCAAAGTAGGTGGGGGATTTTATTCACTCCCAATTTTTAGGAGCCAGATGAGTATCCTCTGAATACACTTTAGAAAATGAGCTCAATATAATACGATAAACATTTCTGGAGAATGGCCTCTCGTTCATGTTCATTGACGGCAATATAAAAACCTAAACGTCGCGTTGAAAGTAACTGTTCGGAAGAAAATTTTATTTCTGAAAGTTGGATTCAAGGTAGATATGGCAGTTGAGATAATAAAGAACGGACTATCCAGATACCTGAGAAAGACGCTTTGTTCGACAGTCCTTCGAACTATTTTCCCCAGAAAGAGGAGTGTCAAGGATAGACTACTGCAGTGTATATTTCAGATTACTTCCTCTTATGAAGCAAGTAACATTAGCCGTACGAATCGTGCACTTGATATACGAATACCCGAGAACTATCTTTCATGGCGATCTTAAAATGAATGCAAATCAACAACCAGTTCAGCCCTTCAAAATATGGTCAACTTGGGTCAACCAACATGTGAATTTTCTATCAAAATCCTCCATAAAGTGAAACCAACCGGCTCAAAAAAGGTTTGGATGAAGAATTTGTGTACATCTGAGGCTAAAGCAGTTCATCATTTTAAACTCAACCTTTGTGTATAAAATAGTCCGTTCCTTACACTACCATAGTCTTAACACACCCTTGGATTTCTACAACTTTTTAGTACTAATTATTACCTTCATCCTCCCTTCCTTTACAAAATGGACGATTATCTCCAAATATTTTATTCTATAGAGTTTTATTTTCATTCCATAATGCAAGTTGCTGATAATTTTGGTTTACTTTGCTAAATGATGTCACCGTTTTTCTCAGTACTTGCAAAATTAAGCTGTTTTAATTTCATTTGGATCATGTAAGCATGTTTATAAAAGTCAGATCTAACTTTTTAAATTTTTCTATTCAAGGCTGCCTTCAAGAAAAGTTTTCAGAGTCTTATAGAAACTCAAGAGCAAAGAGATGCAAATTCTCTGAGTCCCAAATGTCAAAGAAACGTTAGTGACAGAATGCTTATTGGATAAAAAATAATTCTCAAAATTCAGCGTATTGTATAAACAAGTATGTAAACGCATGAAGTTTCATTGTTACTATCTATCCATAGCGTAATCATTTATTCACAACTCACTTTAAACCGGATTTCATTTTAAATGTTAGATTAGAATCAGTACATTGAAATAAGCATATAAGTCCTGAGAACAATGATGGTAATCACTGACAGTCCAACTCAAGATACACATTTAGCCAAACATCTATCAAAATTCTTCAAAAATTATTATGTTGCTACGGTTCAACCTGTTGGTTATACACAGAAAAGTTCAAAGTTCCAGTGGAACTATGAAGTAGTAAAGTATGTACCAATGTTGATGTACCTGAAAGTTATGTGTAACTTGATGAAATCAACAGACATTCATCTAAACATTTTATTACCCTAAATTAATACAGCACGTTGAATAAACGTCAAAAGCAAAAATATGAATAAATATTATTTTTAGCCGATCTTAATTCAACTTCATTAAAGTTCAACCAAGTTAAGAATGAAACAGTTATTGTCTATGCTTTCATTTATATATCGTAATAAATAGTATTTCCAGTAAAGAACAGAACTGTTAACTCTTGAATTTCAGTTAAGAAAGTGAGTTTTTGTGCTTATTGTTTGAATTCAGGGTTGTGGATTTGTTTTACAACATTGACTGGTCCACCTGAACAACTGAAGAGCTGAAGACAAAAACTGTATATTTTTCAAGTCTTTCCTAGTTTTATCAGTTGTTCTGCTGATATCATTTTTTACTGAATGTTTATCATCATATTGTGACCAGTATTCACAAAGTGTTTGCTTTCAAATCCCATGTGGCGAATTGATCCTCTACGGTTTGTTAAGTACTTGATTTTTTGTAAGTCAGAAAGGAAATTCATTTGGGCAAATATAAGAAATTCGAAAGAAGCACTTGTTGTTTATTATGCCTAGCGTAAAATTTCGTCTAGCTAATGTTCTTTATATGAACAATAATCTTAAATGTATGAAAAAAAAATTATAACTCATAAATTTATACCTCAAACTTCAGTTGATAGTGACCTGCGATATTGAATGGGTCTACAATCGGTAGCAAACTTAGTTCTCCAGTATGAGGATCGACTGTAAAAATATCTTTGTCTTTTGACTCATCGAGAAGATAAAAGGTTAACTGTGAATTCACACCTTCATCTGAATCTGTCGCTGTCAATTTGACTAGAGGAATTCCCTGAGATGTTTTATAAAAATACAAAAAAGTTAAGTTAATTTCCATGTGAAAACGGATAGAGGTTGACGTGTTTCATAGTAAACCGTAGCTTAAATCTGTGATATTGATATGTCCACATCCAACTATGCTATTTATTCTTTGCTTTAAAATAGTTGCCGTTTTTGTTATTTCAAGAAACAAAACTAATAAACAATAAACTTACTTGTAAACCATGTTGTCGTGCAATTAAAGAAAATCATTCGTGCAAAAAGTATTGTAAGCAATTTACAATTTTCAGTTAATTGTTTATATGACTGTTTAAAATTTTAACTGAGCATATTACCATCTCGAATTCTTTGCAATGCAGATTTGTTCTGATCGATGTCCAACTCAAATAAAATGAAATATTTCTAGACAAATCAATCCTATAACTTCATATCAGGAAAATAGATTACGAATGTATGTTTTTGTAGTGATGATTTCGAATGCGTAAAAACACTAATCTCCATAACTCTAATTGAAAATATCGTAAAATGTACTCAGTAGTGACTAGCTTCGTGAGGAAATTCTCGGAGTTCTAGCTGAGAAGATGTGACCAATCGAGTTCAACCCTGTTGCGTGTAGGCAGTAACTACCAGAGACAAATGGGTGAGTTCCCTCAAAATCCCTAGATCAATCAGAGTTAGACAATAACACCGTTGGATGCCGACGCAGTTGTCCAGAAGTTAGGCATTCGCGCACAATACCGAAGGTCATGGGTTCGAATCCTGCAGGGTGCAGGAGTCGTGGATGCGCACTGCTGATGAGTCCAATACCAGGACGAAACGGCCGTCCAGTGCTTCCACGTCTCTAGTGGTGGTTTAACAATGACTGATTGATGATTTCAAATGTGTAAAAACACTAATCTCCATAATTCCAATTGAAAATATGTATAAATATTGCTTCGGTATACTTGTGAGCAAGTAACATGTTATCAATCCAATCTTATCCTTCACTAATGATCAGCAAAAAAAAAAATATGAAACCCTAATGCATCTAAGTCACCATTTTAGACGCATAAAATCTCAGAGCGAAATTTTGTTTTTATTTGAATTGATTGCAAATCAACTAAATTAACTGAACCAATTTGGTGCACACATAATCAATCCCTTTAGGCAACCATAATGAAAAAAAAAAGATATTGAAAATCATTAACTTTATGATTAAAGTCAAATCATTCTTTCACATTCATTCACATTATGTATTTATGTATTTAATTTTTTTTCAGACCTATTTTCTCTTCACCTTAAGCATAAACAACAACAGGTTGAATGTGTTTTTGGGGTGATCAGATTGAAAAACGTTTTCTCCCACATTCAAACAGATATCATCATCATCATCATTAGCTTTTTGTTGGTGAACATAATTGCTCACAATTTATAGAATTTTAGTTAAAACACTCAATTATTAACAGAATAATAATAATAATGATAATGATAATTTTTTTTAAAGAAAGAAATTTCCAACCAACAATTTATTCTGTGCATTTTGTCTTATATTATTCACTTGTTTTGTTCGTCTTTTCTTTTTTTTTTAATGACAATGAAAATGTTGCTTTTCAAAATTTGCAGTGAAATTTTTAAATTTCATTTATTTTAATTGTAATTTTTGTATTCCCATGATATAAAATACAAAAAAAAAATTGATCGCCTTAAGCATTTGAATGATTAAATATATAGTACTAGTAGTAGTATTTGTGGTAGTATTAGTTGTTGCTATTGCTAAAGAAGCAACTTTCAGAGACTTGTGATATAATATTCTTATTTTACTTTACAAAATTATCGTTTTTTTTCATTTTAAATGATGCATTGTTGATCTAATTATTATAGTCGCTAATTTAAAAATATAAAATTTATGCTTGAACAAACAAATTGAAAGTAATACAATAAAATTTTACACTATAAAAATTGTTAAGGAGTTGTCGTAGACAGAAGTAGTGAATTTCATTCTGTATAATTATAAATTAAAGTTAAAAGAGACACTAATTATCAATAATTATACACATATATGTAAATCTATCTGTAAATCACTCACATATTTTATTTTAAAAGATGAACGCACCTAAATGAGGATTGATGAAATTTTCTTCAAAGAGCAAATTAAAAAAAATTTGAACAATGAACGACAGTTGTTTTACGCAATTGAGACTAACCAATTAGGATTATTTTCTGGGAATTCATGACATAAATGATTATAACGAAATGTTTAGCAAACATTTAGTAGATGAGATTTTCATTTTTTTTGTTTGATGACAATTTATTATTCCTTTACAATGTTTTTGTAGTTTATATATCGGCAGTAACACTAAACAAAACTTGTTTCACAGTGTGACACAATAATTTTTCTTGTTTGTGTATACTACTACTTAATAATTATGATATATCTTGGCATTGTGTTTTATGAATCATGAATCCGTAAATCTGGATAACATGGAACAGTGAGAAATCCTTGACTAGATTTCATGAACTTCTGATTGCTAGATTGAAGATTGGACTGAAACATTTCTTGGTGTATCAATGAAGTTTGGTTTAAACAGTTACAGTGAACTGACATCAAGTGAGGTAAAAAATGAAGAACAACATGTTATTGCTTATGCATTTCAAATATTGCGATGGGAAGTAGCAAGATAACAATGCTAATTAGTGTTTAATACAAATTCATTAAAGGGAACTAAAAAATAATACATTTATAATACAATTTTATGCTCGAAAAAAAAACATGATAAGTTAAAATATGTCGATAAATATTTCCATATTTTACTGTATTAAAATATTATGCATTTACAAGTAATAACTTAAATAAAATAAACTTACTGGATTAGTGAATACTGAAGCATAAACTGTATGATTAATATGAGTAGGATAGACAAATTTCGGTGCATTATCATTGACATCATAAACTTTGATGTGTACTTGACAAGAAGAACTTTGTTTCGGTATTCCATGATCATAGGCCAATACCTATGAAGATAGAAAAATATTAGCTAAGAAAATGCATGAAAAAACACTCTCTGATGATGAAATGAACTAGCCAAAAAAATGTGATAACCCAGATTTTATTATTCATTAAATATACAGTCCCTATTCAAATTGTTTAATTTTATTTGTGTAGGCTCTCTTTGAAATTATCATATGATAAAACAGGCATGTAGCTATAAAGAGTTGCATGTTAGTTGTATACCACAAAATTGGATTTCTTCAATATGTGTTAGACGATGAAGCACCTGATGTTTGACATTTGCATTATCCTAATAGTTAAAAACAACAATACACTTTCCGCTAGCAAAATCCTTAACTTTCATTGGTTGATGTATTATTTTAGTACGCTATTTTGTGGCTCTCTCAAGGGCGTTTCTTTCATGTATAAATAAGGTCGATTTGTATGCTTGTCAACCTCGATTTTCTGAGTACTTGTAGAATACACTTTGTACGCCTTATAAAGACATCTTGATATAGTCAGCCGGCCCGGAGACAAACGGATTAGAACAGCCAATCGTGTCACTGCATCATTTGTCTTCGCTCTCGTTTACCGAGTAAGGTGAACTCGTAATAGTTTCGAGCATATCAATCCATGAGCACAACAGAAGGTGATTTCAAATGCTATTTTGACTACTACGATTTGTTCGGTCAATTGGAATCATGTGAATAACAAGTAAATTTTTATCGAATTCTAGATATAACATCATCACTTGGTTATTCATCAATGCAAAATAAATAATTCATAATTCTAACATACTTTGTTTGATTGAACCAAACCAAATCACCGTAAAATAATCGAGCAGATTTCCTTCATATTTTAGTGTCCTTTAGTCAGATGTTTGAATTTCAGTAGTTGATATTTATTTTATATCAGTTCCAAGACGTTTATATTAACAGATCATGTTGAAATTTAACATTTCATTTCAAAAAAGGAAACACGTCTTTTCAGGATTCAAGTAAACAGCTGAGTCTTATTACCAATAATAGGTAAAATACTTGATTTATAATATGCAGAATGAATATATACTTGTACACTAATTAAATAATACTTACCTTAAAAGTATAGCTATCTAATTTTTCTCGATCCAATGGTGTACGCAACCATAAAGTACCATTATTTCTGTCAAGCCGAAATGTTTTTATCGCGTTCCCCTAAAAATTGAACAAAACAAATTTTTCTTGTAAAATATGAACAAGACATATAAACTGCCAACAATGTTGTGATTATTAAAAACGTTTTAAGTAGCATAAATATCACATTTAACATGAATGACAAGTAATTTATCACAGTATAATAGTTGATTGAAATAAACATGACAATACACATATTGTTTGTAAATGTAGAAACATCAATTATACAGTTTAGTATGATTAAAATTTAAAGTGTTCATTAGCAAAGTAAGAAAAAAATGAGCACAATTATTAATAGGCCATTTAAAGATATGCGATTGAACGACACAACCACCTGCTTAGTATTAGTATTGAGTTAATTGTATATGATTTCGGCTAATAACAGGCAGAATGTATCGCTTTTCGATTGTATATTCATGGCATTAGATCTGTGAAAAGTGAACTTTTCATTTTCGACGCAGCTATATTTTATTCACTTTAACTGGTAAAACTATTTTTTATTATTTTAGAATGGTGCAGCAATATTTCCTATGGTAAAATAGTGAATAACAGAAAACTACTTTTAGTTAGTGAAAGAAATACAGTAGAAATTTATGTTTTATTAGTGGTGAATTCAAGGGAAATAATTGGTAATCGTTATCTATCATGAACAGTTGTTTCTAATTAAATTTGTTAACTTTATGTTATAACATACTTACCTACTTCAACTATATTCCTTATATAATACGGAAATTTTACTGTTCACTAACATCACTATACAGATTTTCTTATAACTTTTCAACTTGGAATAATGTTTTTGATTGAACGCTTTTACAGATAGTAAGTGATTACTTTGTTGAAATATGATTATTATTATTATTATTATTAACACTGTTCATTTGTTTTGCAAACGTGATATCTATGTTTCTTTATTGATAACACTATAATCATGAAAATGATATTTTATGTACACTTCGTTACTGAAAAATAAAACAGGTCATTAATTTAATAATAATAATGATAATAATAGTTGTTAAGTATTCTTGATATAACACGTAACAAAACTTGATAGCAATTATAAATCACTTTTTCCATGAATATATTTTCTAATAATGCTGAATAAGAAAATAACTGATAAATAATTTATTAAGTACAGAAATTTTCTTTCTTAGTATATTGTTCGTTCATGTTAGTATTAGCAAGATGATATCAAAAATGTTTTATTCCTTACATAGGTGATTGAGGTATTATACACTTACAGTGTTAGATAATGACAAGTCTTGTACCTAATGAGTTATCTATCTAGCAAGATTATGCAAAATCTGTTGTATTAAATGTAAATTTTATCCTTGTATTTTTAAACGGAAATGAATTTATTATCACTTACAGCATAATGAATTACCAAATAAGTTTTAGTTAGAAGGGTTCTTTTATTAGGAAATGAAAGCAAAGACCAGTAAGAAGATTCATTCGAATGTGTATATTCACAAATGACTGAAAATGTTGCTTTTTAAATATGACGCGTTAAATTTCCCTCATAATGTTATGCACTTCAACGTACTCTTTCGTAATAAAAGGTCTGATCCATAACTCTGGTCATATACTTAATAACAGGATTGATAGATAACATTAGTTAGATTTTGGCTTCTATGAGTTTGATCAACTTGTTGTCATTAGTTTATTGCGTGCTATAAATGCAATATTAGAACTCATCAGAATATTGATTTTCGAGAAATTCTGAATTGTAGTTATAACTAAAAATCACTTTTGGTTTTCTACAATTCATCATTGTAGAAAAAAAATTAGTTTTCTCAACACAGTAAATCATGTCATTATATATTTAATTGGCAATTGTTTATCAGACCATACAATGAATTAGTCAACCGTTTTAATACAGAAAGAATTTGTTTTTCCATAGCGTAACAAATGAATTTATTTTAGTTGGTTTTGTCAGAACTGTTTTATCAGAATGACACAAAGAAACTCTGCTAACAAACTACACCATTATTACGTGTATATATATATATATATATATATATATTTACTGGTGTACCCGTTTTGTGATAATACGGTTGTTATTCCATATATAAGAAGTGTAACCAAATTTTAGTGAAAGAGAAATACATGAATGAATGAATAAATAGAAGTTAATTTCATTTGTTCTGTGTATTTTACTCATGTCGTTTTGACTGATTCACTTTCTATCGTTCTGAAGTTGCATTCTTTCTTAATTAGATTATTTTCGTTTATTTACCAATTTCATCATCCAAAAATAACGACGTTTACCTGACTTCTTTATTATAAATCTCATTCTCTACACATATTCATATTAATTTATGCATGTTTAGATAAATTCGAACAATATTAACATTATTCTTCATTGAATCAAACTGTTCCACTGTCGATTACTTACTTCCTGTCACGATCCATGGGTATATGATATGATATATACTCATATCTAATATTATCATTAGTTATGAAGGGTCAAATTTTCTTTAGAATATATTTTGTATACAAACATCATACTATTTCATAACTCGATCTAATAAAATGAACCCTTTAACTAATCAAGTGTAAACGCCTATTCTAGCAATTAAGAACATTGAGATCTGTTAATATCAGGTCATCGATTCATTTACAAGGAAAAGAAATTTTTTTGGTGAATAGGAAGAAATATTTCTTTGCCTTCTAAACCACAGGTATGTTGTACTTGAAAAAAAATGCAGAAAATTTTTTGGGAATGCAATAGCAAATTGTTTGTAGTTATATTAGCACAGAGTATTCCACTACATACGTGTATGTGCACACTGTCAATATGATTTGTAATTATTCTGTGTCTATTTACGTAAGAATATATCATCATATAAACCTGTAAAGCTTCTATTTACGTGTTGTTATCATTAGGATTGGGGAAAAATTCTACTTCATATTTATCAGTCTAATTGTTAGTATTCATGAAATTAGGTCATCTCCATGTAAATAATTCTGTCAGTAGTGATATTTATTCCTCTTTTTTACTATTTAATTTAATATAACTTTTGATTTAATAATCTAACAAAACTAAAAGATTAATCGCATAGCTTTAATTACTTCAATAATATATTCACAGTAGAAAATGATAATGGACTAAGGGAATAAATCATTAAATCATCTATTGTTTAATATCATGAATTAATCTTAAATTTATGTTTGCTAACTTGTGTAAGCCACCTGTTCATGTGTGTGCATCAATTAATTAGAAAACTATTCAACTTTCATTTTGCTATTCAGTGAAGAGAGAAAAAAAAATACTCAAATTTGTACAATAAATTAATTTATTCTACATTAAGCTTCAACGCTTGTCATCACCATTCTCGTTTATTGTTTCTATTTTGTTAGTTATGAAGAACAACGGTAAACTATAAACATCCATTATATAGATGAAATGATTTCAATAATCAAAGAGTTATTAATCGATCATAAACCTAAGAGTAAACAGTATTTTATCGATTCCATTGTATGGGTTGTTTGGATCTTCCCGTCGGTGTTTAGGACAGCAGTTGATCAGTCACTTTAGTATATATTAAAGATTCTCATTGTGAAAATTAGAGCAACACATATAAGCGAAGAATATTGTTTTCGATTAGATCGTCATCAGGCTTTACTCTAATATACATGAATATTTAAATGAAAATGTTAAACCAATCAAGGCAATTTGAGTGATAATCACAATGAAATGCCTTTTTCATTTCATCGTGATCATCACTCAAATTGCCTTGATTGGTCTAACATTTTCATATAGATATTCATGTACTTTAGTATATGTACATCTAGAGAAAGAGGAAGGCGAGAAGTACGAGGTGAATGCTTTACTCTGGCGTTAGTTTATGTACTTAAAAATGAGGGTATTTATAGAGCTACTGATGACCTTCGGCTTCTGGAAGATTTGAGAATCATTCTAAAAATGGTAGTGGTATGGCCGAATATACAGTCAGAATCGCAGCACGTCATTTTGTATTTTCCAAATATTTCTGTTCAATGCTGATAGGATGAAATGCATCTTGGCATTTCTAGTCATCTGTAGACTTATTCGAAGGGACATTTCGTGGCTCCCTAATACTTTTTGATTCAAAATAAATATAATTATCAATTGGAATAAGATAAATTCTGAAACGCTTTTATTCCGTTAGAAAATAATTTATTGAGAGCTGTCCCATTCTTCATGCTTTCGCTATAAAAAAGACAGCGAAGAAGAAAAAATTGAATTACTTTTATCAACTAGGAGATAAACAATGAAAACAGAGCCGTCTGATTGTTTGTCAAATGAATGTCAGTGAAACACATTTAGGGTTTATATTTTGTCTTTCTTTTAGGTTACCACAAAATACACTATAAATTTAAAAGTTTTTTTTTTATTTTTCTATTTGACAGGAAAATTTAAAAAAGAAAATGGCTCTATTTTAATCGCTTCGCATTTTTATCCTTCTCTCTGCCTGTATGTCTGCCTTAATTTAATTTTAGCAGAAAAAAAAACACAAAGAGATTATGTGATGTCTATAATAAAAAAAATAATAATTGAATACGCCAACTATTTAATTTAATATTATTATCATTAATAACAATAATTGCTTTTGTGATATTAAGAATTGTAAAGAATAGATTCAATGAAATATTAGTACATAGACAAATAAATGTACACACAAGATCGATTTTCGTTTGCGGAGAAAACTATTACAGTTTCTTTTAAATTGGTTATTTTGACTCGTTCGTCTAATTTCGTTATTCAGTTTATGATGGAAAATACATTAAGTTAATGAATTTTTATGAAATCTTAACCAAAACATTAAAATACACATCAGTCTTGACTAAATCATTAGTGAAGCGTTTCAAGAACAATCTGCAGTGAACCCAAACGAAACGGAACACATGATCTTCGGGTATGGTGAGGATCATCATACTTTTAATTCCTTGAAGCAGAACTGAGTAGTTTGCATTTCACTATTCAATTAATGAACGTGAGGTTCGATCATGCATAACTTTGGGACTTCATCTCGGTGTCCAAA